TTGACATGTTTCAGCTAACAGATGCTGCCCTGGACGTGCTCACTAATTTGTCACGGCTTCTTGCTACTAGGCCACCAGATGAAAAAAAATATTTTAAATTAATCTCAAGAAAGAATGAGCACAGAGAATAACATATAAAGGAATCATGTTGGTATGTGCCATCTAGTCACTTGGGACTCATAACCACCATAAGTATAACAGCTCTGTATTTGGCTCTATACTGTGCCAAATTTATTTTCTCTGACACACTTACTCAAGTCATTGAGTCAATCCATCTCATCTAGGGTCTTCCTCTCTTGCGCTGTCCCTCCACACTCCTAAGCATGACATCCCTCTCCAAGGACTGGTTTCTCCATTCAACATGTTCAGAGTATGTCAGACGAAGCTTCAGAATCCTTGCCTCCAAGGATCAGCCTGATTTCAGAAACTGTTGATTCTCCTAGCTGTCTATTGCATATTCAATATTCTTCTTCAGCACCACAGCTCAAAGGCATCAGTTCTCCTTCTAGCTTCCCAGCCATTGTTCTGTTTTCTGAATCTTTGTGATCATATATATGTCATAGAAGAATTGTGTTCATGAGCGTCTTCAATGCCATTTTTCTTTCTGGAAGTAATACACTTGATTTATACTTTTATCATGAGGAGGACCCTAGTGGTAAGAAACTGTGCAGCAGTAAAAAGACATATGATTTAAATGAGCTGAGTTCTCTAGCAGAAGGATGGGTAATGCCGTCCCTGTGATTAGCTGCCTCTGAAAACTCGCTCTTGGGTCAGACTTGAGTCTGTTTCAAATCAACGGTACCCAACAAGAACACATTGAAACCTATACTTAGACCAAGATGCCATTGTCCAAACTTAGCAAGCATGGACTGAAATGAGGAAGAAAACACTTCAGGATTGTATCCTTCCTCCATGTCCAATCTGTTCACTGAGCAAATCATTTGAGAAGATGGAAGGTCATTGAAATAGAGGAAAATCCCAGCAGGACGGATTGACACAGGGACTTTGGCAATAAGCTCAAGTGTATCAGAGGTTTGAGGATGACACAGAATAGAACACGATTCAGATCTGTTCCTAAGGTTGCTATGAGTGTACTCCACTGGATGGCCCTTAAGTACAACAGAATTCCCAGCTGAACCACAAGACTTCCATTTCTACCCGCCTATAGAAGGAGTCAAGTACATTGAACACGTAAGTTGATTTTGGTAGGATTTCCGTTTTCACAATATAGAGTCTTCCTATCCATGAATAGGGCACATTTTTTTCCATTTATTT